CAAAAAAAAGCTAATACCAGTATTCCTCAAACTGTTCGACACAATAGAAGCAGAAGGGTCATTGCCAAACTCTTTTTACAAGGCTACAATTACCTTGGTACCCAAACCACACAAAGACACAACTAAGAAAGAAAACTAGAGGCCAATATCCCTCATGAACATTCATGTAAAAATTCTCAATAAAATACTGGTAAATTGAATCCAAGAACACATCAGAAAAATCATCCACCATGATCAAGTAGGTTTCATCCCAGGGATGCAGGGATGGCTCAACATACGAAAATCCATCAGTGTAATCCACCATATAAATAGACTGAAAAATAAACATATGGTCTCCAAAGAAGGGGAAAGGGACAAGAACCCTTGAGCAAATTGGGAGCATGTGGGGGGAGGTAGGAAAAAGAGAAGGGGAGAAGAGGAGAGGGAGGAGAACAAGAGGGATCAGGAAGACTGAGACAGAGGAGGAATAGAGGAGAGCAACCAAAGAGATACCTTCACAGAGGGAGCCAGTATAGGTTTAAAGAGAAATCCGGCACTAGGGAAATGTTCAGAGATAAACAAGGATGACACCAACTAAGAATCTAGCCTATAATGAGATTGATGACTATCTTATATGCCATCCTAGAGCCTTCATCCAGTAGTTGATGGAAGCAGAAGCAGTCACCCACAGCTAAGCGCTGAACCATACTCGAGGAATATAGTTGTAGAGAGGGAGGAGGGATAAGCAAAGGAGCCAAGAAAATGCTGGAGAAACCCACACAAACAGCTGCCCTAACCAAGTGAGAGCAGAGGGATCTCAGTGGTAAAGCTGGGGAACCAGCATTGGACCGAACCAAGCCCTCTGAATGTGGGTGCCAAGGAGGCCTGGACAGTCCCATAGGGCAGCCCTCTAACAGTGGAGCCAGTGTTTATCCCTAGAGCACAAATGGACTTTGGGAGCCCACTCCCTATGGAGGGGTACTATTGCAGCCCAGATACACAAAAGAGGGCCTAGGCCCCCCCATGGAAGGCCTTACTATCCTTGGGGGGGTGGGCTGGGAGGTGGGTGGGGGCATGGGAGGATAGGGGGGCAAGGGAGTGGGGGATTGTTGTGTAGAATAAGATTGTTTCTCATCTCTCATTGTTCCACTTATTCATCTACTCATCAATTAATAAATTCACTCCTTCAAGAAATACTGAGTATGATGTTCCTGGTGTATTATTCTTGGTAAGAGAGATACTGCGACTTAGTAGATGTCCTATGGGAGGCCTTACCCTCTCCATGGAACAGACAGGAGGAGGAGGGAATGGAGGGTGTGGGAGGAAAAGAGGGAGGGGGAACTGGGATTGGAATGTTAGAAATAAATTAATAAAAAGAGGGATACTGTGAACAAGACCAAGAAAACTCCTGCATTCAAGAGTATCCTTCAAAGTGTTAGAACTGCTCCTTTCTTCAGCTCTTACTATGCTAGGCACTAAGCTAAGAGAACGTCTGTGCCCAATCTTGGTTTCTCTGGATAATAACCATGAAAGAGGAATACATATTCCTGTTCAGTGGATAAGGTAGCACAGACCCAGGAAGACCAGGGAGCCAGGGCTTTCCTTTCTAGATGGCCTGTAGCCACTCCAGCTGTGTAACAGCTCCGAACACTCTTACTTTCTGGAAATGTTTGCACATCTCAGTAGTGGATCTTGCAAAGTGTGGTTCATGCCTTCAGTTTAAGTGTAGCAGAGGAGCAGAGGAGCCACTCATGAAAGACAGAAGGAGAGCTTTGGGGAATTCTTCATCAGGTTAGTGACAATATTGCTTAATCCAGTCAGAAGTCTCTCACCAGAAGGGAGTTTCTAACTCATCTTCACTATTGCCATGAAGACAGAGGGGACAAAATGCCTGGTGCATCACAGCCCAGCCCTGAGCAGCGATGGCAGGCAGCCATATACATCCAGGGCTTCTCTCAGAGACTAGACAAGCACCCTGCTGACAGGTGACACAAACACATACCATAATGTCCAAGGCCAAATATGGTGTCCTCTAAATTTGTCTCAACTTCATCGAGGCCCAGGGAAGGAAGGCACTGAGGTTCAGGTAGGTTCTCCGAAGTTCTTTCATCTAATTCCTTGTGGAAGGGAATCAACAAGTCATGAGAAGAAGGCAGAAGGAAAAGGCCCTGCCACAAATGAAGCACACTCTTCTCCCTTAAGCCCGATAGCATTTTCAAACTTTGGGTTGGTAACTTGGGATAAGAGTCCTGAACCTACCAGAGACCTTGGACAAAGCATTCAGCCTCTGCAGGAACCAGTTTCTAGGCCACAACTAGTCAAGTCAAGCAAGATACCCAGGGAGCTAAGTCAAAGGTTCGGGCAAGTATAGGCCTGAACCATCAGCATCTAGAAGCAAGTATTTATCTCCAACGTGCAACCACAGTATCTCAGCTAACATCCCCAGATCATCCATTCTCAGTTTCATTTCAAAACTAAAAGTGTTGACTTGAATGACTTCCACATCTCATCTGGACTTACAAGTCCTGAGAGTCTAAGAATTTCAATTTCCTAAAAGACAGATATGTAAGAAATGATGAAGGAATTCATGCTTCAAAAACATAAAAGGTAAGGTTGGGAATGTGTATTAGCTGGTAGAATGCTTCCCTGGCATAAAAGAAACCCTGCACTCAATCTCCAGCACTGTGTAAACACATGCCTATAACTCCAGCCGGAGAAGCTGTCTTAACTACTGGCCTATTGCTTGGAAAGACACCATGACCAAGGCAACTCTATTTTTAAAAGCATTTAATTAGGGGCTTGCTTACAGTTTTAGAGGGTTAGTCCATGATCATCATATCATGGCAGGAAGCAGATAGGCATGACAATGGAGCAGTAGCTGAGGGCTTTACATCTTGATCTGCAGGCAGCAAACTGGGGGTGGGGAGCGGCTGGGAGACTGGTCCAGACATGGGTTTTTGAAACCTCAGAGCCCACTCACTCAAAGACACAGTTCCTCCAATAAGGTCACTCCTACTCCAATAAGGCCACACCTCCTAATGCCAATCTTCCCCAGACTGTTCCACTTTCTGGTGACTAAAGCATTCATTCAAATTCAAATATATATATATATATTCAAAGAGCCTACGGTGGCGGGGCATTTTCATTCAAACCGCCACAGAGGTAGAGCATTAAGTAATCCTGGACTAAAGGGCAGGTTTGAAGAGAGCCTGTGCATCATGAGAAACTGTCTCAACAAAACAAAACTAAAACTAACTAACTAAACAGAGGTTAAAGCCCAAATATATTAATGGGAATTTGAACAGGCCATTTGTGTGTGTGTGTGTGTGTGTGTGTGTGTGTGTGTGTGTGTGTGTGTGTGTGTGTGTGTGTTTGCAAACTAAATGTAATACTGAATTGCCCTATTTTCTCTGATAAGCAGCTTTCGTGGTGGGGGTGGTGGGAGACTATTCCAAGAATGCCTTTTGTTAAGAAAAAACATTTAAAGGCAAGTCCAAAGTAGTATTAACTGAGTAAGTCAGATGAAGCCATGCCCCAGCGCAGCAAGGCACTTGTGAGAATGTACTCAGGAAGCATAGCTGAGAAGTCTGCCTCCTGTACCATCTGATGATTGTTTAAGGAGGCATAGCTGGGTCCAGATCACAAAGGTCCACTGCTGGGACACACGGAGAACCCAAAGAACAAGGAAGCTGCAGGATACAATCGCTGCATGCACTTCACAAGGTATCTGAAAATAAGCACCTGGGCGCTCACAACTGACTGTGACTCACTGAGGTTCTTTTTGAGGAGGACAGGATTGCTATAGCTGCCTCTCTCAGAAAGAGAAGCACTGGTCTGATCTTTGACACCCTGTTCCCCAACTCACACTGGAGTCCTGGTCTACTAGGTGCTTTTCACAGAAGCCTGGTTCTAGCACCAGTACAACTGCACATGTCACAGGGAAAGGGGCAGGCTGGGCTTGCCTTTTTTTATTACAGTGTGGTTTTTATGTGTTTGTCTCTTTTGTTTTTTAAGCTACCATCGTCTTAAGAAGTAGAGTCAAATGTGATTCCACACTCAATTGTGCTTCAAGATTGCACAATGCAAATTCAGCCAAGCAGAAAATGCTGGCCAAAATGAAGATACTGTCAATTAAAGTCTGAAAACAAATCAAGCCACTTTCCTAAATGCCTCAAGGGATTTTCAGAACATATGGCATACTTGGTCCATTCACTCTCCCTCCTACAACTGCTTCTGAAATGTATGAAGGGGTTCTGGAGGCATGGCTCAGTTGGTAAAGTGCTTGCTATGCAAGCATGAGGACCTGAATTCAGATTCCTAGCATCAGTATTCAAAAAATAAAAATAAAATGAAGACGTTAATCACAAAGCTGGAGCGGCAGAGACAGTAAGATCCCCAGGGCTTGCTGGCCAGCCAGCAGAGCATGATTAATGGACTCTAGGTTGATTGAGAGACATTATCTCATAGATTAAGATGAAAAGGATTAGAGAGGGAACCCAATATTCATCTCTGGTCTTCACATGCATGCACACACACACAAACATGCACATACAGCCAATGAGCACATGCTCCACAATGAAGCACAGAGGAGTTTGCTCCAGCCTGGCAAGTGAGAAAGAGGAAGGAATTGAGAGGAGAGCCTCAATGAGGTCAGGGGAAAATGAAGCCATCACAGTGTAGGGAAGGGGCAAGGAAGTGCATTCAAAGACAGGTGCTTTCTTCCTTTATCCAAGTTTCCGTCAGCCTCTTGCATCTGATTAATCCAGTTTCTGTCATACTTTATTTCATCTTTTTTAACTCAACAATGCCTTTCCCTGAGATGATGAAAACCCTTTGGGCCTCTGCAAAGTGTTTAGCTTCTTCCTTTGTTCTGTGACTATCATTAAGCCTGTCTGTCTCCCTCTTGTGCCTGTGACTATGATTAAACCTGCCTCTTTCCTGCCTGGCTGCACCATTCCCTCCTCATGGGGTGAACAAGAAAGTCTTTCCCTCAGGTCGAGCCTCCTTTTCTTCCATCCCCATTAACTGATTCTTTTCCTCTAAAGAGATAAGAAATCTGTTCACTGGTGTCATTTTCAGCTCTTCCTTCATCCAGAGGGGGTTGGTCATGTTCAGGAGCCCCACTTTCTATCACTGGCTAGTAGGATGCAGTTCTTGGTTAGCAGCATCAGAAGCAAAGCTGAGCTGACTAGAAATCTGACAGCCCAAGCCCTACCCCAGACCAGAATCAGAATCAAGATAGCACAGGATACTCTGGCATGTTCTCAGGTTTGAGAAGTGTCCTGTAAGTCACAGAATTTAAAAGAGAGACAGCTGGCTGTGGACCTGAGCAGTCAGAAGGTTTTCTGGAAGACAAAAGGGTCCCTGAAAGGAGAAGGACACTAACCATGGATCACCTATTGTTCCTGTGCTGCCATGCTAACAATGCTCCTATCCATATTCAAACTTGGGAAACCCTTCTGAGAAGTTCAGGACCAGAGACAGCGGTACTTCACCTCAGAAAACTCAAAGAATAAACCAAAATCTTTAGCCAGCACAGGATTTTGAGTGTGTGCACATACACACACTTAAGTGTGTATACATACACATTCACGCTCATGCACAGGCACACACACACACACACACACACACACACACACACACACCTTGCTGGGAGACAGGCATGATGGTCAATCTTGTCCATTGGGCAAGATTTAGAATCACTGTGGAAACACATTTCTGGGTGTGTCTATGCAGTGTTTGCAGAAAGGCTGAGTCGAAGAAGGAAGACCTTCTCAGAATGTAGGAAGGATCAGCCCACAGGCTGGGTCCTAATCTAAAAGAAAGGATAAAGCCAGCTAGGTAATGACTGTCATCACTCCCTGCTTCCTGAGTACAGATACAATGTCCTTGCCATCACAACTTCTCAGCCACTATAGATTATACTTTCAAATTATGAGTTCACCCAAAACTTCCCCCCAAAACAAACCCTTCCTTAAGTTGTTTTTGTTGGGTGTTTTGTCACAGCATCTAGGAAACTAGTACAGGAAGTCACTGGGGTGTATGTTGGCAACAACAGGATCTTTGTACAACCTCTTTTTAAGATTTTATTTATATATTTTGTATACAATGTTCTGCATATATGCTTACACACAGAAGAAGGCACCAGATCTCATCTTAGATGGTTGTGAGCCACTGTGTGGTTGCTGAGATATGAACTCAGGACCCCTGGAAGAGCAGTCAATGTTCTTAACCACTGAGCCATCACTCCAACCCCACAACCTGTTTCTTAATCTGAGCTGGCTCCATGTTCTGTGTGATAACATATGGATAACAAAATCTATCTAGCTTGGTGTGGCTTTGCATGCCTGTAATCTCAGTACTTGAGAGGCAGAGGCAGGAGGTTCATGAGTTTAGGCCAGTCTGGGGCATATAGTAAGACCCTGCCTGGAAGGAAGGAAAGAAGGAAAGGAGGGGGAAAGGGAGGAGGAAGCAGGGAGGCAGGTAATTTAAGCATCATAATACAAAAAAAGACCATATCTGGCTCTCAAGCTCCAGTCATAGCAAAGAAATGTCTCTGATCTCAAGGGTCCCTGGCATTCTAGTTTATTTTGGTGATTGAGCAGGGAGTTTGCACACATTAATCCTCATAATCCTGTCAACTTCCTTGTGTAGATCTTTGGGAATCCCTGGTTTTCAGTCTTGTATGAACAAAGCAGAGCCAGGGACAAAGACCTACTGCCATAGGCCATCTTCACAGTGCCTAGGCATGTCTGAGGTGCAGAAGCAAGGTGCTCAGTTTTCTTGAGGGCATGGTTTTTCCCAAACTGGTAGCATGAAGACTTTACTCTTGGTGGACACCTGATCCTGTTGCTGACCCCATATCCTTTCAACAGCAGTTCTCTTACCAGAATCCACAAGCAGGAAGGACCTCCATCACAGTTTCCCAAGTCTCTGAGACCAGGGGCAGATGCCACAAATGGCTTCACTGTCAATGGCAGTGCCAGAAAGTAGAATACTAAGTAGGACTGAGCACTTTTCAGCAGCACTCTTCTGGTGTCTGCTGACCAGCTCCACAAGCAGGAGACCCGTAAAGTCATAGAGTCTAGATCTACTGTGGGATCCAACTTTGGACTATCTGATCCTCTACTTGAGGGTGACAGATGAGCATTGTCTTGATCAGAGAGGGACAGAAAACAGGTGTTCCTAGGCCTTGCTCTTCTAAGAGAAAGATTTGCTCAGGTTTCTGCATGATCCGGGGTTTGGAAGCCTGTAGTGACTAATCTAAGTCACAGAATTTACGACACTGAGGTTCAGGGCATTCTTCCACAGTCTCAAGGGTTGGTTCTCTCTGTTCAAGGACAGCATCTCAGATGCAAAAATCTCCTCTGAGTAAACATATTACAGCTTTTCTACGCTAATGTGCTTTTATGAGAAGAGCTATGAGGTTGGTGTTGATGTCAACTGCCCCAAATGAAGCCTCACATAGACTCCCTTAGTATGAGATCCTACCACCAAGGCCCAGAGAGATCATCGCAAACATGAATGAAAATAGTATTTGCCACTCAGAGATTTCAAATGCAGAAGAACAGGAGGAGGGTTCCTACAACTCTATTCATTCATTATCAGATATCCGTGGAGTTCTTCAGTTTGAGTAAAGTGGATGATACGGATAGGAGACAGAACATAAAATGTTAAAAGGAAAAATATGACAAAAAAAGAGATTGGCAGACTAGAAAGGCAAAACACAAAGGATAGGAGTGAAAGTCAGATATGTGCACATTTGTTCTATTAATTAATCATCTTAACCATAATCTCTGCAATTGATGACAATTCAGTTATCTTGTAAATAGTAGCCACTTGCTACATAATGGCTGAATAACTGGTCCGTTTGCATATGTAAGCTGCTTTGATTATGGGTTGCCAACAGCTGTTGGCTTACTTGTAGAACCCTCCCTGGAAGTGGGCTGAGTTGGTCTGGGTGTTTTCTTTTCTATCCTTTTCCTCGGCATTTAGCCTAATGAATCTGAGGGACCCAAAGCAAGGAAACATCCCATGAAAACATGAAATAGGGGTGCTTACATGAGGGATATCGACACTCAGAAGTTCAAAGTTCTGGAATCTGGTTTCTTGCATCTGTTTGTTATTTTCTTTATATCTTTCTTCCACAATCTTTCTGTAAATTCAACGAAAAAAATATAAAAATCAGTACAAAATGTTTAGGTAATATCTGCAGTATACAAACAAGCATGATTGCTGTTTTAACATGCAGACAGAGTTTTCAGGACGCCAGACTATCAGGTTTGTCCCTCAGGGTATAGTTCCTGAAGTGATTCCTTTCAAAATTTCAAGTGATTCTCTTCCAAAGCACACACACACACTAGGGAAGTTATGGCTCCTTAGTCAACTCTGGAACCCCTGGAATATCAGGATAACAGTCATCCCTGAGCATCATGACTGTGAAGACGCTGCTACCCCAATGGCTGAGATTCATTGTACTTCATGATGACCAAGCCCAAACATAAGGACAATGCAAGTACATATCAAGCAATGTGTGAGCACTGTGGTGGAGACTAAGTGGCAATAGATCTACTGTCTAAGACGCTGTCAACTGTCCAGTTCCTTATTAGTCACCAAGAAGCATGACAGACTTCTAGGACTTGGGATTCCTTTTGTCTAACATACCCACCTCTGTCTAGAAGCCACTATTCTATTCTTTACTTCCCCAAGCTTCATTTTTCAGAATACATATCAATGAGACTATGCACAGTTGGAATTTCTCAGTGACATTAACTAAAAATGCACAGCCCCACTTGAATCCCAGAAACAATGACCAAAATTCTAATTCAATTAATTTATAAAATCAAAACCAAATTGGAGCAATATTAGTATATCATGAGGAATAGTTATGCTATTCTTTTGCCCATAAATAGTTTTAATCTGAATAATAATTTTAATATGCATGCAAAGTATTACATTTGCATTTTTTATGTCTTCCTTTCAGATGGAACCCCCATTTTTATTCAACCAACAAAAGGAATTATGCTACCTTGGAGACATTAACATTACTTGCATTTAGACAGGTTTGGAGGCTGTGAATTGGTGTAATGACTCCAGTAATGTAAGGGCATATATTTCCCCAGGTAAACCCACAATCAGTGGTTTATAGGAACCAGCATGGACAGGATGCACATGTATCTTCCCAGCCGAACAATCCATAACATCATCTGGTAGCCTGAACCTGGCCATGACTAGAGCATTTACAACAGAGACCAGCAAACAAACGAGCCACCTCCCAACCCAAGATGCTCACTACCCATTCTTCAACACCACACTGCCTGTGACTTCACTGTGATGGACTGTACCCTCAAACAGTGAGCCAAAGCAGGCCCTTTATCCCATGAGTTGCTTTTGTCAGGACACTTTATCACAGCAATGGGGAAAGTAACTAATACAGAGAAAATACCGAAGCTCTCTGTTCAGTTTCTTGATGGGCTAGGTCCAAGTGTCAGCAGCAATGAGGTTTCCCTTAGAGCCTGACGACATTTTCATCACTAGTAACCTCCCTGCCTTTCAATCTTTGCCTTCACACAGGACTGAAAATCTGATGTAAATAGCGTCTGACATCCAATCTATGGCCCAGTAATCTTGTTTGGGGAGAATAGGTGAATGAATACACAGTGATTGTGTGTGCTTAGGTTTTGGCTTTTGCTTTCCTTGCGTGAGTTCTCTGACAGCACCATTAGGCAGTGCAGGGCGTGGGGCCCCCAAAGGGAAGGCAGCTTACTTCAGCTTCCTGGCTTCCTCATCAGTTGCCCGAAGCTTCCTCAGCCGCATTCTTTCTCTCGGAGTCATTTTCTGCACTTGAGACACGGCTTGGAGCGACTGCAGGTGAATCTTTTTCTGCCTACAAGTAATAAACCTTCTCCAACATGCAACTCATACCAAACATGCTCAGAAAAAAAATTAAACAAATATGTTTACAGAAGTATCACTACTCTATGGAGAGAGCAGCAGCGTCTCGAGGCAGGCCAGGAAAATCTAATAAACTCCGAGTGGGTAATGAGCCAACAAGGACTAGAGTTAATCAGCATTATTTTTCAAATTACATTTCTGCTTAAAAGCAAATTGTGTACTTTCTAAATTCCTGCTCATTCCGTTGCCTGTGGCTGGTTTTTATAATGTAAGACAAATTGGGATTTTGGCCGTTACAGAGTAAATAAGACACAAGATGAACTCATCTATGTGTACTATCAGGCCATGGTCTTTAGAAAAGCAGTGAATTCTACCTCCATCGCCCATTCTCTCTGTAGCCAAGGGCCCAAAAGTGAATCCAGGTTTCCTCCTCTGTATAGAGTGGGCTACAGTGAGTCTCACATGACATAATGTATGCACACTGTCCAGTGGTGGCACTATAACAACTGTATTTTCTTAAATGGCTTATATTCTGGGCTAACTCCAATAGACATTGTATGGTAGTATGATCCAGTGGGTAAATGTGAAGGCTAAACACACTCCCTGAGCTCAAATCTGCACGTCTATACTCTGCACAACTTCTGGAGGTTAGGGAGTCTCTGTGTAACTACAAAAGAGAATAATAGCATCTACTTCATAGGGGCATCCTTCATTTATTGAGGTTGAAACTACTCACAGTAAACAAGGATGGCAAGGCCTGTGGCTACATTCCCAGTGACCTCTCCTCTGGTCCCTGACCTTGTTGGGGACATATATTTCAAAAGGCTCCTTGTCCTCAGCTGCTTCCTTAGGAAACACTGTGAGACACTGAATATCATCCTGACCAGAGTGTTCCAGGAAGGGACAATCTATCAGAAATGTGTACCCCCTTATTTTATAAAACCTCATGGACTCTCCCTGAAACAAGGCCACAGATCTTGAAAATAAAAGGGACTAGTTGAAATCAATATTTTACAGTGTGAAATGACCTCCAGACAATTGAATTCCAGCATGCCATTGATTGTAAACTGTGTCAGGCAACTGTTTTCACAACTGCTCTGCAAAATGATAGCTAAATGTAACTCACTGTTTTAGAAATAAGATAACCTCTATTCTCACACCTCTGGTTAATAAACAAAAATAAAACTTAGACTTTCTTGAAAGAATGGGTAGCAACACAAGAAAATAATCATATTAGAAACATGTCTACAAATTTACCCCAAGGGATCTTTTCCAGGTGTCCATTTGCTTAGGTTGAATGTGAGGCTGGGAAATCAAATAGGACACAGTCCAGAAACCACTGGGGACTGGGGTGTGTCAGAGAAGAGTGCATGCATTGGGGGGTGTCAGAGAAGAGTGCATGCATTGGGGGATGTCAGAGAAGAGTGCATGCATTGGGGTGTGTGTCAGAGGGGTGTGTATGCCTGTCAGAGGAGAATGTCTGCAATGGTATTTTTGTTTTTTTTTTTGTGTGTGTGAGAGAGAGAGAGAGAGAGAGAGAGAGAGAGAGAGAGAGAGAGAGGGAGAGGGGTGGGGGAAGTGTCTGCACTGGTGTGAGTCAGTAGAGAGTCGGAGACTGTCTGCCGGAGACTATCTGCCGGAGAATATCTGTAGAGAATATCATCTGTAGAGAATATCTGTAGGAGAATATCTGGCTATTTGGCCTTGAAGGTCAGCCTGGGGGCTCCTGTTCTCATACCACTCCTTTGCACACAAATGGGGAGGTAAAGCCATTGAATTTAGGTCCTTATAAAATTAAATAGCATCCCATCAACAAAATTACAAACTCAGTCTTTAAGAGGCAGGGTCCCCTGAGGTCTGCAATTCACTGCTTGCTCAGATATACACCACTGCTCTGGAGGTACCCACCATTCTATGTTTTTACAAGTTAAAGCAGAGCTTTAACTGTAATTACTGGACGAGAAAAAAGAGAAGTCGGGCCCAGAAATTATTACTGTTCTTTGGAAATGTATTTTCTCTTTTCTTTTTGTTGAGAGAGAGAGTGTGTGTAATATATGTGAAGAAAGCAGATTTTGACTTTTTTTTTCAAATGCCTACCACACATACTTTCAATAGATACATACTCTGTCAGTTAAATAAACACCGTATGAAGCCATTTAGGTTTCTGATAGAAGGCTCATTAGCATAAACATCCCTAAACATCTGAGATACTCATTTCTCTACACACGAACAGGCAGGCACCTGCGGTGCTGCCCTGCAGATCTGTGAGTTGTGAGGAAGTTTAGATGTTCAGGATTTCAGTCTGATACCACCCAGGGCAAATGGCTTTGGAATGCCGCATTACCAAAGCTTCTTAATTTCTTGGCAAGACTTAAGTGAAATCTAGGATGCTCCATGCAGTCAACTTAGTGCTAATAGATTTTTAAAGACTGATGCACTTAGCATTAACACTGGATGGGCTTTTAAAAAACAAAGCAATTACTTACATGGCATTAATTATCTGAACATCATCCTTCTGACAAACCGAGTTCTTGTCTTCCAGCGTCACTTCTGAATATATGCACATCAGGTGCTGAAATAAAGAAAAATCACCATGAACTTGAAGTTTTCAGCAATGAAAGGGCACAAAGGTACCGTGTGTCATTTCTGAATGATGTTATGCCTGACCAGGACAAAGCACTTTAAGATAAAACTTAAGCAGTCATTTCTTCTCTCTAAAGGGTTAGAAAGATCATATGGCGGGTTGTATGAGAAGATCCCCAGTTATTCTCTAACTGCACCTGATTCTTCTTCCTCCCCACGCCCCTTACTCATTCCCGGTTCCCCACCACCAGGCCTTCCCTAGGCCCTAGGAATACCCACCTCTCAGCCTGTAATAGGCAGTGTCCGCACTCCCCCTGACAGTATGGATGCTAGGCAAGTGAGACACTTAGCTAAGTGTGTAACACAGACCTCAGCAAGCAGGGGAGGTACTTCCTTAACACAGCATCATCTGTAAAATCAATGCCCAAACCCATGAAGAACAGAATTCCAAATGTTTGTGGACAAGATCCAACCCTGAGCCTGAGCAACTACACCCTGCTTGCATCTCACTAATCTTGGCCTTGATGGAACTTGTCTTTAAATTTCTATATTTTGCTAGCAGGGTGATATTGATTTTGAAATACTGCAGAGCTAGAGAGATGGCTCAGCAGTTCAGAGCACTGGCTGCCCTTCCAGAGAAGCCTGGTTTGTTTTTCTGCACCCACAGGGCAGATCATAAATGTCTTTAACTCTAGTTTGGCAGAATCTGATGCCATCTTCAAGCCTCCTCCTTAGACTGTTTACCTGGCTGCCTCCTCCTCCTCCTCCCAGTGCTAAGATGGCATCTACTCCTCTGACTAGCAAAGAGCCCTTCTCTCTCTCTTACTCTTTCTTCCAGCACCAGTCTCCTTTCTTCTTGGTTGTTGCTAGCATTTTCTCCGTTCCCTTGACTACTGAATCCTTACTCTAGCAGTCAAACTTCAGCAGAATAGGCCATGCCCGCCCCTTTCTTTTCAGTCTCCCTGGGGTCAGCACTGTGCCTCATGGCTCCCCACACGCCACTGCTGTCTTTGCTTCCTCTGGATTTAGATCTTAACCCACGGGTGAAAAGCAGGCACCTGTTACAAGGCAGGTGACCTGGTGGTTCCTGTTAGAGTTATTCATAGCAAAGGAAACTTGCTGCGGGGTTAGCAAAAGCCTGAGAGGTCCTGAAAGATAAAAGCCTTGGAGAGGACAGTTTGCTGCTTACATTCCAGGAAGGTCTAATCCAGCTCCCTGATGCAAAGGAAAAGAAAAGAGACACCTAGTCAATTAAAGATGCTAAATCCTGCCATAAAGGAGGGAATAATAAAAGCTCAGTGAAAATCCGTATTACTAGCATTATATTCTTGTACGAACAGGGGTGGATTCCAAAGTGTTCAGGTAAGATCTGTCAATCTCAGAGCCATTAGATGGATAATAATGGTTTTAGGCAGAAAATTAGAGCTCCAACTCCCCATGTCTGGTGGCATCAGGTAACCAGAGTTTGTCTAGCCTCCTTTGCAAAGAGATTTTCCCAGTGTTCCACTTGGCTTCACTTAAAGCCTGCTTTCCTCCTTTCTGTCCAATTCTTAACCACATCTCGGTCCTACAACATAACTTCAAGACACAGAATGTTAGCCCCGGAAATACCACTCTCATTTCCAGTACCTGAAGCTGCTCATCAATGTAAGGGACTTTTAAAACTTCTGCAGCAGATGGCCTCAGTGAAGGACTTTTGTTCAACATGCTGCAATATTCGAAAAGAAAATTACTTTTCAAATGAACAAAAAACTAAGGAATGAAGCTTCAATGGTCTCTGTTTCAGACTTGCTTCCATACCGTTGCATGATGGCGTTTAGTTCTCGTGGGACTCTCTCGGGGAGTGAAGGGGTGTCGCCTTCAACAATATTTAAAACCACAGATAAGAAACTGGAACCAGAAAATGCATGATCCATACAACACATCTCATATAAAATGCATGCCAGTGACCTGCAGACAAAAACCAAAACATTTAAACAAAGAATAAATGCCCCATTTAAAATTTGTCTCCCATGAAAAACCCCAGAGACATTGGGACATTAGCTGCGATGCACTAACATCCATTTGAGTTTGTTTGCAGACTACATATTTGCCAAGAAAAACCTGGACTCAGAAGACAGACAAATAGACAGACAGGTAGGGACACACACACACAAGGGCACACAAAAGCAGACACACTCATATGCATGTAGGCACGCAGCACACAAATCCAAGACCCATCAAAAGTGAAGTACAGAGACAGAGCTGAACACTATTCTTTCCAAAGGAAAAATAAATAGTCCAATAGCAAGCTGTCTGCATAGAGTAAAGAGTCTAAAACTTGATTAATATAGCCAGGAATTTTTAAATTAGCTTCTATAAAAGAAAAACAAAATGCAGCTACATATTACCTGCTTAAGGTACTTTTTAAGGTTACGTATGCAGAAGCAAATTTTAATTTATCTGCCTGCCCCACCCTCTGTGCATACTGTGCACGTTGAAAATGAAGCTGGCATTATTTATTAGTTTTCTGAATAAAATCCATTTGCAAGTAGAAAGGGAGAGAAACTATTTGCAACTCACATTAAAATGTATAACTCTCCCTTGAGGATCATGAAACAGGAGATCAAAATCAGAGATCAGCTCAATGCTGAGGTGGATTAACCATGCCAACTGGTAACCTTTGAACTGGCAGGAACATGTTCTTAATGGTTACACATTATAAAGAAAATGAATGTTAAAGTCTTCCCTGAGCTCAGTATTAAGAAATATTAGACTATTTTTATCTTATGGGCATTGTGAATTATGTAACAGCCAGAATCCCCTTTTCATAATGGTTGCTTGAAAGATGAAAAAATGAGTTTGTGAGAGACTGTCTATAAGCTTATATGTTATGTATCTCTTAGCACAACATTTTGTAATGAAAGAGTATACATAAATAAGAATATGAACATAGAATTGATTCCATGGTTTCTTATGGAAGTGCACACATAGACAAGAATTCTGAACATGCACACTGAAATGGTTCTGTTCCAATAAGCATCAATAATCCTAAAGCTTCCTGGCTGATGACAAAGCACTTTCATGTACATCACAACAGGAACTAAGACTTCCCCAGTGAAACAGAACCAGGATCAGATTTTTGTCTTCAACTCACAGACAACTAAATCGACTCTGAGAAGCTAAGTGACTTGGTCAATGTCACACAGTAGTAAATGGTAGAACTAACTCTTTAATTAAAGCATTTTCCTTCCAAACCCTCTAGCATTTCAATTAGAAAGAAAGACAGTATCAGAAGCAATTATATAGAACCAATCAGGGCACCGACATCAACATAAATATTGTAGATAAGAAAGTATCTGAAGCTCAATCTATTTTGAGTCCATCTGTAAGAATATCAAAAAGTATCTTATACAGGAATTTTAATATACTAAGATTTCAGCAACCAGGATGATAAATTTCTTCAAATGAATATAAAATAATGACATTTTTAGAAAAATAAAAACAGTCTTCCTTGCCAGCAGGAAAGCACTAAACACGTTCTTGAAGGGAGTTCTTCTTTTTTTTTATTTTTTTTTATTTTTATATATTTGAATTACAAACAAGATTGAATTACATGACAATCCCCTAATAAAGAAAAATGATCCTAGGCAGAAACAAGCAATGCTAGAACAAACAACATTAAAGAAGTACTCTGTGAATGTGTATAAACAGCATTAATCTACACACCAATACTGATAATATATTGTTGGATCTAAAAATCATGTATAATAAAGTTTATGGCAAGATAACACAAAAGACAAAAAAAGAACAAGACTTAAAGTGTTTTCAGTTACTCCTGCTACTGAGAAAGAAGTCATAATGATATTTTTACTACACAGTAATAAGGATGTGAATTGTATTTTCTAGAATTATCATTGAAGGATAAGATAACATAGAAGTAAAACAAGTTGAGAGAAAGAAAAATTAATGACAAATTTTTAAACTAAAAGAAAGGAAGGAAACAAAAATTAAAACAAAATAAATTGGACAGAATATAAACAATAAGATAAAATACAAACATAGTTACACTAAATGTAACAGTAAAATGGTTCAGTTGAAAAAGACTGGATTAAAAAAATACTGCTCTCCAAATAACCTTGAATGTCTGAATATGAGAAAGTTAGGTAGAGTTCTACATGCAAAGCCTTTGAGATACCTTCTCAGGTGAAGATTTGTGCTGCAAGCCTGAAGACATGAGGATATGAGTTCAATCGCAGTGACCTACATGGTAAGAAGAGAATCAGCTCCTGAGGCTCCCCCGACCTCCACATTCACGTCATGACAATGCCACTCTCCACAAATAAATAAAACTTCAAAAGACAAAGATCTATCATGCAAGCACTTGCCAAAATATGCTAGAGTGGGTATACTTGTATCAGACAAAACAGGCTTTGAGGCAAGAATCACCATTAAGATTAAGACAAAGTCAAGCTATCAGGAACACGATAACTTTAAGTGTGTGTGTGTGTGTGTGTGTGTGTGTGTGTGTGTGTGTGCATGCAGCAGAGAGAGAGAACAGAATTAAAGAGAAAAATAAATGTTCAATCATGGAGTTCACAATCATTCAATATCTAACAATATACAGACATCAAAATCAATAAGGATGGAGAAACTAAACACAACACAATAACCCAAATTGACAAATTGCCATTAATGCACCCCATAATGACAAAATTCTCATTATTTTTAAGAACTCATGAACCATTTATCCAAACTGACCATACACAAGGTAATAGACAAGCGTCAATGGGTTCAAGAATCAAAGTCTTGAGAACATATTCTCGGGCAAAAGAGCAAGTAAGTTAGACATTAAAACCAAGAAGAAAGATAAGAAAGGTGGTGTGGGTACAGGTGAGCTGGGCCCCCAAAGGCTTGAGAGCAGGGGAACTGGCCCCACCCCTTGCTGCCTGCTGTATTGAAGTAAGCTAGCCTGGGCAATGCTGAAGAGCTTTCTTTGGTAGTGATGATGAGGAAGAACTGGTGGGCTGACCAACCCAGCAACCACCCAGGCCCAGAACCAGGGCTATGAGTTGGCCCACCCCAAGACCCACGACTTCTATGAACTGCTGGAGCATGTGAAGGGGCCAGTCCTCTGGATCCAAAGCTGCAGTATCTCCATGACACAGGGCAACAATAGAATATCCAAGAGGAGTCCCAGTATAGATAGTACAGCAGAAGCCAGAGGCATCAAGCCAGACCAAAGAAAGGCTCATTGCAATGAACACTTGCAAGTAAAGATGCATGGACTAAAGGGTATACTGTGTGACTCATTGGGCCACACTACACCTTCCATGACAAGATTTTTTTTCTTTTAAATTTTCTTTTCTTTTATTTTGTGTTGCAGGTGGTGCAATGGCAGAGGGTAGATACAAAGTGATGGGGAGATGAATGAGATTGGGATGCATGATGGGAAATACACAAAGAATCAATAAGAAGTTAAATAAAATAAATAAAAAATGATAGGAGACGGGGATAAGAAATCTCCAAAAGCTTAGAAATTAGAAACACACATCTAAAGTCCTTAGATTAAACAGGAAATAAACATCGAAAGTCCTAAGATTAAAAAGGAGACACATATCTAAAGTCCTTAGATTAAACAGGAAACACACATCTAAAATCCTTAGATTAAACAGGAAACACACATCTAAAATCCTTGGATTAAATAGGAAACATACATCTAAAGTCCTTGGATTAAATAAGAAAGTTTACTGAATGAAGCTGTAACAAAATTGAAAGCATCAGATATATAAGGAGATAAAAAGTTTAAATCTATGATCTAAGTCAAACTTGACAACTTAAAAATTATGTACCAAAATAGGGGCAGATTATAGATTTAAAATACACACACACCACAAATAGAATGTTTAAAAGGTTCATATCATTAACAAGTGATTTTTACTTCAGGAACATGGTATTGATCTAGCATTTAAATAGTCAATCAATGAAATATGCCTCATTAGAGGAAACAAAGGAAAACTGTACCGTTACCTTAACAAATTTGAAAAAAGCAAGCTGGAGAAACAGCTCAGCCATTAATGGCTAGGCTTACAGCAGATTGGGGAAAAGTATTTCATTCTCAATAGACAACACTCATCTGTAGTTTTATAAAGAACAGAACACAATGGAAAAGAAGGAAATTTCCTTAGTCCTATTTTTAGAGCTTTAAAATATATAGTAAAAATGTACTTATTGGTGAAATACTGAGATTTTACAATTTCCTGCTAAGATTGGGATCAAGATAAGAATCCATATACCTTATCTATACTACAGGAAATGAATACCTGGGACAATAAGGTTAGAAAAATTAGTTATAAAGATAAGCTAAGAATATTAAGCTATCATTAACCAAGTCAAAGTGACTGAGTACATAAAAAACCCAGAAGACTCTAAAACCTGTTGGAAACAACAAAGGGACCCAGCAAGGCTGCTGGATACAAAGGTCATTCTTGTCTCTAAGTTGGCAGCAAGAGCACTTTTAAATGAAATTAATTGTGCCACTTACACTAACATCACAAAATGTCAAATATCTAGAAATAAACCTAGTAAGAGGTGTGCCAGATCCTCTAGTGTCAGCCATAATATAGTGTTAAGGGAAATTAATGGACAAAAACAAAAGAGACAGAGGGAATGATAGATGAATTCACACTGGAAGATTCAATAAGAGGAAGACACCAAGATTTTCCTAAAATGGTTTACAGACCCAATCAATGCAATAGTGGTCAGAATCTTACTGGGCTTTTCTTCTTGTATAGGGATTGACAAGATGACTTTAAATTTAAATGGAAATGCTACCAAACAGTTTTATGTAACAACTCTTTTCCTTATAAGAATGTGGTACTAGAAAAGAAGAAAGAAAGATGAACGAAGCAAAAAAAAAAAAGTGTTTTCAAATGACATATGCAAATTCTATTACTTGATTAAGGCGAAGG